GCGGCGGAGGGACGAAGGCCCTGATCCCCGCCCCATCTGTCCTGTTCTGCACTCCTTCATCCGCCCTCCCTCTTCAGTGGTCTCCTGTTTGTTTTGGTCTAAACCTGCTAAGTCCGTCACCAAGCTAAAGCCTGAACAGCACGGAGGTGAGCTGAGTCACACCCCGGCCAGCTGGGAGTTTTAAGTAGATATACAGAACCAGAGAGGCGACTTCAAACCGAGGCAGGAGGTCACAGCAGGGTGACGGTGCAGCGGTGGTGGCAGCACTGCCGCTACCTCGCCAAGAGCTCTTTCTTAGGTTAGCTTTTTTGCTAACTTTTAAAACGATTAGCTCATTTAGCTTCCCCAGATAAATCTGGGTAAAGCGCTAATTTACTTAACTGTTTTGTAAATTTCAGTTGAATATATAAAGTTCATCCAAGTTCAATTTTCTAGCATTAGCATCCACTAAATTAATTTTCTTGATCGATTCTAAAGAGCTAATTTACTTAGCTATTTTGTACATTTTACTTCATGATTAACATCTGGGTTGAGTATAGTGTTGAAAGCACTAAATACTGATATTTCATTAGCAAATTCTTCAGCATTAAAATTTTCTAAATATCATGCTACCATAGCACGTTAGCATTAGCTTACACTAAAAACCATGTTGCCATAGCTCATTAGCATTTGCTTCCACTAAATTAAATTTCTGGATAAATATTAAAGCGTTAATTTACTACTACAAATAGCATTAGCATTAGCCTCCACTAAATGCAGTGTTCATATGGCACTTATGCACTACAATACACACATACCATTTTAATCTAGTGCTTTAGCGTTAGCTTCCACTGAATCCCATCTTGGTTTAGCACTTCAGCATTAGCCTCAGCTAATGCTTTAATATTAGATTTCACAGCTATACTGAAATTGCAGTTTCAGTATAGCTCTTTAGCATTAGCTTACTCTAAATACCCAGTATCTCCTGTAACATAATGATAACAGAGCACACTGTAATGACATGGGTCCTGATAAAGTCCCAATCTGGACCAGGAGTTTGCACTTAAAGAGTCCTGACACGACTCAGCCGTGCTGTGATGGATACTGGCTGTTGCCACGCACCAAAACAAGAATCCGGCTCCAGAGGTTAAACACTGTATTCTTCATTTTCACAGCGGCGTGTTAGAGTGTTTGGTTGGATAAGTCATGCAAGCATGTGTGTCTCTGTTTTGTACCACCTTCATCATCAGTCTTGCTGGAGTTTAAACAGACAAAGGGGTTCTACTGGGAACGCTTCTGAAAGGTAAGACCCGACACAAAGGATGGGAGGAAGGAGTTTTCCTGTTCTTTTTCAGGCTTTCAGGGGGGAGGAAGCTCAGCTTTCTGGCTCTGCATGTTACCACCACAAACTTCACTGTCATGTAAACAGATTTAATGCAATAAACCATCACAAATTATGTTATCAAACTTCAACAAAATCTGAAAAAAATTAAAGAGGTGTGATATTTTCTTAGGTTCTGCCCGTGCTACTGCTGACTAATACAAAAACCATGCTGTATTTTCTCAGCTGAAGTTAAATTACCCTCACAAACCATATTTACACTTGGATTATATGTTCTTAGTGTTGAAAAGTTTGTTTCGTCATTGATTTTCTTAAATATACAAAAGATAGCATCACAAGCTAATGACAGATTTAAGCTAGCTAACTTGCCATGTAGTATAAAAATTGTTAACACTTTACATCTGTATAAAAATCAACCAACTATGCATAATGCTGTGTTGGTTTTTTGAAAAGATTTTCTATTTTAACGGAAAACATTTAAACCACAACTTCTTCTTAATTCAAGTGACTCCACCTCTCAGTTCCTTCAGACTAGCCGGAAGCAATTAGCAATGATGGAAGATCTGCTGAGCTCGTTACAGGAGCTCAGCAGAAGGTAGAAACATTGTTAAAGGATTAATAATAGAGAAGGCATGCTGTGATGACTTCCTGAAGAAAGAGCAGGTGTTCCTTAAAGAGACAGAGGTCCAGTGTCAAGGTGTTAAATTACAAAGTCAAAGTCACTAGGTCTGTCACAATAAGCAATAAATTAATTAATCCTATGATATTAAAATTAGCTCAACAATTTTCATTTGGTCAACAGTTTTTAAAGAGATGCTCCCCTCTAATATTGTTGAAACGCTGCAAATATTTCACACTTTTTTAAAAGATCATTTTGATTATTGAGACTTCATCATCAATTTATTTAAAATATTTTCCAGTTCTAGTGTTAAATGTTCTTTAGAAATTAGAACCTTTTTGATCTTTCAGATCAAAAATAAGCTATTATATATATATATATATATATATATATATATATATATATATATATATATATATATATATATAGTAATACTAGAAAATGGTCTAAAATTACAATATTATCATTTATCGAAAAAATTTCTGTAACAATTTATCGTCAAGCAAAATTTCTGACATTTAAAGGGACAGAACTCTGAGCGACGTTCTGTTTTAATTTAAAGAGGCAATATTATGTTTTCCAGGCTACTGCTATTTTATAGCACTCTCATTTAACTATGTTACTTTCAGTTGCTATATAAATCCTACATACATCAAATTTTACTAAAGAAATTTTACTTTGTAATTTAACACCTTGAAATTGGGACAATGTGTCTTTAAAATCTCTGCCTTCAGGAAGTCATCCCAACATGGCTCCTCTATTAACCCTTTAACAACGTTTCCACCAGCACTGCTCTGAGAAGCAACTCATCTGATGATCTCAGCAGCTCCACCAGGTGTTTGCTAATTGCTGCTGGCTAGTCTGAAGGAGCAAAGTAGGGGAGGAGCTGCATCTTGAAGGCGGGGCTACATCCACCCAGGCCTTTTGCACAGTTGAATGGTTGCCATGGAGATTAAAGGGCTTCTCAAACATGCATGAAAGAACCAAAGCAACACCACAGGAATGTTTTTGACGAGGGAAAAACATTAAAGTCAATTTTACATGATACTGCCCCTTTAAAAGCAAACAAAGAAATCAAGCTGTGGCCCGATTGAACTTGGAAAACGTGGTGAAAAGTTTGGACGCTTCTGTCCTGGAGATCTGCTGCAGATGCTAGTTGCTCGCAGGGTGGGAAAGTTTTTTTTTTTGAGCGAGCAGGGAGAGGCACAGACACTAAGCAGTCGTGTTTTCAGTCCAAACTTCTCGCAGATGGACTTTAAAGTGAGTGATAAATCCACGTCCAGATTGAGGGTCCTTTTGTCATTAAACTAAGCCTTAGCACTGCTGTCCATCTGGCTCGCTGCGTGCGTACGCCTCTGCGCATGTGTGCAGACACTGGACGGGATCCTGTAGCGGGAAGAGCAACACAAGCCTTCCTTTTAAAGTGTTGCTGACTGTAGCACACTTTAAGCTAGCCTTCTGCTCCAGCGTCTCACACACTTTACCCCCAGGATCCTGTAAACACGACTCCGAGCCAGCGCGCCCTTCATCCACGACAGACCCAGACTTTGAGGTGCCTGATCTTTGAGCTAACACCACAGATAATTGTTAGGAGCAGAGAAACCCAGAAGCAGACCTGCAGAGACAGCGCAATAGATGACGTGTGTGTATGTGTGTGTGTGTGTGTAGCACGATGGTAAACAGAGCCGAGCGGGTTGCCTGGATGAGTTACGTCTGGACCACACAGAGTAGGAGGCATCAGTCAGAACAAGAGGCCGGTGTTGCATAAAAGCCGCGGTGAGGGTGAGACAGGCAGGCAGACAGACGCGGCTCGCTCCAAATTCGCCAGGTTTTCCTCTACTATCCAACAGGCTGCGGTGTTCCAAGTTTCATTGTTTTGTCCAGTTGGAGTTTCATACCAGCTGCTGGCGCTGAGTGTGTGTGTGTGTGTCTGTGTGTGTGTGTGGCGGTGCTTCTGTGTGTAATGACGGAGCGCTCTAAACACCCCTCTGACATGTAATGGCTCTCTGGTGGTGAAAGCAGCCAGGTGCTCACCGCAGGCGACATCACAGGGTCAGCCCATGATGTGATGCACCGGCCGCCATCATGGCCGCCGCCGCCGCGTGACATCATCACTCTGCTTCTTTTCAGCCTGAACAAACAGCTCGTAATGCTGGTGCTTAGACCTGTCACAATAACACATTTTGTCCCAGACGTTTTGCGATAAACGATAATATTCTTGTTTTGAGACAATTTTCATGTAATATAATGACAAGAACACGTTTTTAAAGATCAATAAACTTTAAATACCAATGACCATTCAACCCTGGAACTGGGAGACATTTTACATACACTAAATAAATAAAACAACAGGAACAATAAATAAAATGAATCATGAAGTCTGTGGGGAGTAGTTGAGACCAAAGCACCAGACTCAAGACTTTCGTCATAAAGTCTTTGGTAGAAAAAGAAACAAAAGAGAAAGACAATAAATCATGCAAGAGTTTGTTTGCATATAATATCCACAATAAGCAATGATTGATTTATTGCTTATTGGTTAGGTTATTACAGAACCTAGAGATGAGGCTAAAACCTGACCTGAACCTTCAGAGACACATAAAGTCTGTTACAAAGTCGTCCTTCTATCACCGGAAGAACGTTTCCAGGACTGATTGACTTTGAATCAAAGTCAATCATTTGTGGTGTTACAAACATAAAAGTTGTATGATGCAACATTAAGTCGTCATGATGCAAATGATTACAGGAGGGTGTGCCACATAATTATTACGATTCAGAATAGATTTAAAATGTACGACAGCGTATTAGGGCAATTGTAGATGGATAAAAGAACTGGAAGAGTAAATTTCCGCCAAAAAACTCAAGAGATTTTTAGGTTCATCTCAAGAATTTTCTAGAAAATAATTTGGAAATCGAAGGCAGAAAATTTGTTGTGGGTTTCCATTTTGTTACTCCACAATGCGTCCTGACGTCACCACGCAGCAGATGTTCCTTGACGGAAGGTACAAGAAACGAGAAGAAAACTGCAAAAATGAAAGAGAAAAGAGATTCAACCAGCCCTACCTTTGATGAAGGCAATATGCTAATGGCGAAGAAACAACTTGCCGTTACAGGAAAGCCGCTTATCCGACGTCATCGGCGGCTACTCTAGCTAGCCTAGCATTCATGACAGGATTTTTCGAACGCCTGTCTGTGGGCTTTGCTAGCTGCAGCGTCACACAGAGCTAGCGCTAAGCCCCGCCCCCTGGCTCTGATTGGTAGTTTCTGGGAGACTGAAGAGGAAATCGATTTTTTCACAGATTCATAACAAACTGACACAAATATGTTAAATATATATGTTTTATAAACGTTACCTACTCCATTTTTAAGGAATTATTTACTTAAAAAAACTTCTGTACTTTCTGAAAAGTTGTAAATTAGTTTTGTCTTATTTCAAGTCTACCAGGATATTTGGAAACTAGACTTTTGCAGTGCGCCATTAGATTAAAGCAGAAATCATTATGAATAATTGAAAGCCCACCTGTTTAGAGTTGCTTTTGAACAACAATAAATGAAACATTGACCAACAATTTGACGTGCAGCGATGACTCTTGGCAAAATGTAATCTTTACTGTGTGTTGTCTTTTCTGATGTTTTGGGGTTTTTTAGTTTTTATAAAATGGAGCACATTGATCTGCCTTGTTGCTGAAAAGTGCTCTACAAATAAACTTGATTGATTGATTTTGGATTTTTGTGAGTTATTAATACTGAAGTTATTATCTTTGGACCTAAAGAGGATCTAGGTTATTACAGAGCCTAGAAATGAGGCTAAAACCTGACCTGAACCTTCAGAGACACATAAAGTCGGTTACAAAGTCGTCCTTCTATCACCGGAAGAACGTTTCCAGGACTGATTGACTTTGAATCAAATCATGAGATTGTAAAAGATTCCCAGCACCAGTACGAATCCCTGAAGATGGGTCGGGTCGGTTGGTTCTAGTCCCCCGTTCTGGTGCCAATGGAGTCGCTCAGGCCTTTATTTTCTGGGTTTAGTGCCGTCCAGTGGAGTGACAGCTCAGAGATAGACTAGCTACCTATTTATAGCGCGGGCCATCTGCAGAGCTCCCTCTTGTCTTTGGTCATCCTGTTCACAAAGGCTTGGAGGCAGATTCCAGCAGCCCAGCCGCTCCATTCACTATTCATTCCAGCGCCGGCAGCACCATATGGATCCGGCCCACTGCTGGGCCCTGGCCGGCCCGCCGCTCCCTCTCCACATCGCTCCTCTCAGATTCACATGGTAATGAAGCTTGGGCACCGTGCAGAGCGCCGCTTTCCCCTCTTCTCTCCCTCAGATGCTTCAGCATGACCGGACACCCCCCACTCCTCTTCATCCTCCTCCTCTTCCTCCTCTTTCTGCCTCTCTCTTCTCGCTCTGTCCACTCGCAGTCCTGCTGAATTATCTCATTTGCTAATGCAAAGCAGGAATGTCCAAAGTACGGCTCACGGGCCGTTTGTGTCCCGCCGGCAACACAGGGATGGGACAAATTTGGTCCATCAGCAAAGTGATTATTTTACTTTTGACCAGGGCAAAAATAACAAGAAATGTTAAATAAAATAAATAAAATGATAATACAGTCAAAGCAATACTAGAAGAAACCTGAAATACATGAAAAAAGTCATAGGAGAAAAAAGTTGTAATATTAAGACCTTTTTCTTGTAATATTTTGATTTTATTCCCGTAATTTTATTTTATTTTTCATTAGTATGGCACAAATACTCTGCTATAGAGAAAAGACTCTTTTTTTAATAGTTTTTAAAAAATTTTATAGTCTCAAAAATTTTGCAAAAATTCCTTCAGAGGTTTTGGCTCAACATTAATCTATAAAAAATGAATTTCTTAGTTTTGTTAAAATGTTACATGTGTAGCTTATTGTTGAGATGGCAAAAAATAAATTACACTAAAATTGTAAAAGTTTGTGCACCCCTGATCTGAAGTAACCTGAACAAGCCAAGAAGATCTCAGTGAACCTGAAGACAGTTGTGCTTAAATAGCAATGATTATTTTATTTTTTATCAGTGTCATATGTCAAGAGGAAGGCTGGATACTCCCTGAAGTCACTTCCTCTTTTTCAGCTCACTTCCTCTTTCCAGCTTGACCATCGCATTCGATGAGCCTTAAAGCAGAAACAGGATCAGAGGAGGGGATTCCTCACAGATGAAGTGACAAACGTCTTGCAGGAAGTAAAAGGACTGCGACCCAAACAGAGCCTCTTTCAGAGCCGAACAACCACACTGAAGGCTTTATTACAAATGTGACGCTTTAATTACACGAGTCAAACATCTGAGTCTGCTGATCGTTATGTGAGGAGAGACGCCAGAGGTCAACAAATCACATGAAATGAGGCCGAAAACTGCCTGAGTTATCTTTGACCTGCTGTAATTTTCAGTTTGTGTCTTTATTCTCCCTTTTCTGATGCTGTGTCTACAATAAAATACTAAATATGTATCAGTTCATATTCTTAATGTGGCAAAAGGAATAAAATTAACAAATTAAGGCAAATTAGAAGGATTAATGTTTGGACATGAAGAACAGGCTGAGCAAAAAGTTACAGAAAGCCAACAAAACGGATAAAATCGATTATTATTCGTTCCTGCTTCTACGTGTTGTGCTAACACTAAAACGCTAATAATTAATATTAGGCCTGTTAACACCAAAGCACAATACCAGCACAGTATTTAGCTGAAACTAATGCTAAGGCGCTAACAAAAAATTCCTAACAGAATTCTTCAAGTTAGGAATTTGGTTAAACATCTGTGTTTAACCAAATGTTAAACACAGATGTTGAACTTTATTCAACTGAAAGTTTACAAAACAGGTAAGTATTAGTGCTTCAGAGTTCTTCCAGAATAGCTAAGCTAAGTGTGCTAAGCTAAAGCAAAAAACACTAAAGCGATAAAAATATGTCAGTGGAATAGCAGAAGTTCCTTCCACAACATAAAAGTATAGAAAACCAAGAAAGCAGCTAAAATTGCTCATTATTTATGTGCTCAATTATCAGCTGGTTTCATTTTCATGCTAACTTTAGAAAAGTAATGTTCTAATATGTTAGCAGTGATCATTTAAAAAATAAGTTTTAATTATTTGTCCAGTCAGGGTTTTTTTCTGTGAAATTTTCACTGTTTTGTCACAGCAGCATTTTCAGATCAGTGAATTAACTTTTTACAGTGTAACCAACAACTTAACTTTCATGCTGCAGCTTTAATGCGTTCACCCAACAGGAGGGCCGAAGATACGCCTCTCATCTGTGCAGAACTTTCTGCAGTGCATCCGTGGCTTTTCTGCATGCAAACCAGTTTCCTCCCACAGTCCCAAAAAAAGTGTTAGATCAACCCAAACACACACGAATAAACGGCAATTTACAGCTTTTATCCCTCTAATAGTCCAGTAAATCTAAGTGACATGATTTGTACTAGTTATTGTTGTAATATTTTTAGAGGAGAGAACATTAGCAGTCAGAGGTATCACTGTTGCAGTCACCTTGGGATGCGTGCAGCCGCAGGCCCAGGCCAGCCTAGTTAGCCATGCACGCTGCGCTGGGCCTAACCTAATTAGGTGCCATCCCAATGTCAACACTGCTGCTGATAAAAGACGAGCCCCGTTAGCAGCGCCCTGCCATCTGCAGGCTCTGCGTCGCTTTCAGTTTCTCAAACATCAGCTGCTGCAAAAACTACGAAGGAAAACTATGGAGGGTTGAAATATGGAGCTAAATTCAGGACAAATAAAGAAGAGCTTGACTTCCAGCCAGAGACAAAGCTTCTGCATTTCCATCAGCCACAGAATCACACAGTTTGACATTTTGAAAATAAATCTGCTGAATCTAAACAATTATTTCAAAAATTGGTTTATTTCACAAAACTGCAATGGAAATACTTTTTTCACACCACTTGAATCACATGATCACCAACCGGATGTTACTACTGATGGAAACCACGAAGAAGATAACAGGAAGTGGTAGGAGGATGTTTTTTTAATGAATTATTGTGTGAAAAACTTAATTAATTAGTGGCCTCGTCAAAGTATGGACCTTACCTCGACTGATCCTCACAGCGGACAAAGCAGAGAAACTGCAGGTAGAAACTTTAGCGTGTGTTCACATCAAATGCTTATTTTTTGCCTCGATTTTGGTGCAAATATATTTAAATAAGGTAAAACAGACTAGCAGCAGATTTCTGTGAATTAGATTTGTTATAGGTAGAAAGAAAAGGAGGAGTAAATTTCCACCAAAAACCTCAGAAAATTTTCCAGAAAAAAAGGGAAATTTTGAGCTCCAAAAGAGATTAATGGATTTAAGTCACATAATAAACGATTACCTGCATATTCTGTAAATTTGTCTGGTAAAAAGCCTGAAACTGTCATAAAATGCTACAAAATAAGCAAAATCACAGCTAATTTCTCAGGTGGGATAAATATACTTACAGTCCACACTTTTCAGATGTTTGTTTTTATGTGTAATGACATGAAGTTTACTAACCAGGTGGCTTGTGGTTGGTTCTTATTTTCAGGGTGTCAGAGGAAAAGGGGATGAATATGAGTCCATGGTAATTTTTAGGGCTTTTATTTGTGGAAAATGATGAAACCGATCATTACCTCTCCATTTTTAGTAACAAAAAATGTAAATAAGCTGAAACGGAGAAAAGAAGTGATGTGCTTGAATACTTCTGTACGTTTCTCTTGTGTTTTGATGATGAAATCTACTGGCTTAATTCATTTTATCTGTTTTTGAAGCCACATTCTCATAGAAATACTCTGCAGAGAAACTCCAATTATGGGTGATCAAATATGGCTCCACACACACACACACACACACACACACACACGGAGAGAGACACGCAGTGAAAGCTGCTTTTTAAATGTTTTCCACTAATTCCTTTTATGCGGATGAAACCCTCTCACAGACAGATTACCTGCGACGTTCGGTCGTCTCTTTCAGAGCGAGTCGTGGCACGGAGCCACTTCCTCCCACTGCTTCTTGGTCCATTAAAATACAGATGAGAGCGTTTTACAGCGCGGGCCAACAGCAACGCCTCCCAGCTAATCCAGCAACACAAACACAAACATCACATGAATTATCTGTAATGGAGACGACTCTGTTCTGGCACCGCTGACGGAGAAATGAAACAAAACGAGTTTATTTTGGTAAATATTTGGATTTCATTTTGATTCCTCTTTTCACAAAGTAATTAGCTGGCAAATATGGAAGCGCCACTGATGCTGTCTTT